GGGGGGGTGGTGGCGGGGGGAGGAGTGCAAACCACTGAGGAAATGGGGAGAGTCAGCAGCTTCTGCCGGAAGGAGTGGGGGCTCTAGAGGGGAGAGAAGGGAAAAGAAGAAAAGGAGGAGCTTTCTGGCCAGAAAAGTTACCTAAGAGGCCTTCCTCTGAGCTCTCCGGGGAGCCCAGTGCGTAGGGCCTCGACCTCAGAGCTGGCACCCATCTCCATCCCCAGGGACCCTGGAAGGAGTGAAGGGAACTGACACATTGAGAACCAGCTATGCACTGGCTATTTGAGTCTCTCAATAGTCCTATAATGAGGCTCACCGAGGAAATTGAGGCACAGAGCAGCGAAATGATTGGCCAAGGTCACTCGGCAAACAAGCAGGGGCCAAAGGATTGGAATCCATCCCGAGAGCACCAAAGCCTGTGTCCCCTCTCCATACTGCATCCCAAGGCTTGGGTGGTGGTGGTGGAGGCCGTCACCGGGCTCTGCCATTGTGACAGAGCTTCCTCCCTGCCCACAGTGGTGTGTGATGACCCTTAAATGACACAGTGTGCGGCGTGCCCAACACCTCATCAGCTCCCCACGTAGTCCCAGGAGAGAGAGAGATCTCCAGAGGCAGGCTCAGGGCAGAGTGCGGGATCAGCCCGACTCAGGCCCCCCTTTCCGTGTGTCACTGACCCCTTCTCCGTGTCCAGAAAGGGCTCCCAGGAAGAAACATTTGTCTGTTTGTTCCAGAGTATCAGCTTCCTGATGTAGGACCGAGGCCCTGGGGCAATGTCCAGAAAGAAACGTTTGTCTGTTTGTCTCCGTGTCCTAGGAAGAAACGTTTGCCTGTTTGTTCCAGAGCATCAGCTTCCTGATGTAGGACCGAGGCCCTGGGGCAGGGGCACTTCTGCAGCTCTATTTTCTTAAAACATGCTGCTCTGCCCAGGCTGTGCTGGGCATCAGCTGTGCGAGGGAAGCTGGAATCTGACCCCTGGCGCTGGGCCTGGTCTCCATGGCAGCCGCGGAATTATGACAGGGGCCTCCACCCAGCTTGGCGGACTTTCGACTTGAAGCGGGAGGAAGGAAACCAAGAAGTCAGTCGTGGGAGCGGCGAGCCCAGGGCTGCACCAAGAGGCCCCGAGATGGTAAGCGAGGGACTGAGTGACCTGCCAGGCTGAGTGGGTTGGGAGGGGGATCACTTTCATGGAGCCCTTCCTTCCCTGACTGTTTGCCTCTGTCTGCTGCAGGCCAAGTTTCTTTCCCAGGACCAAATTAACGGTAGGTTGGGTTTGCTCTTTAATTAGCAACTCAAAACAAAATATGGGTCTCATTAGGCAATTTACTCTGCTCAGTTTTTGTTTGTGGGAAGAAGGCGGCTGGCTGCGGGGGGTGCTGAGCAGCCCCACAGGCCGGAGGCCCCTCTGCAAGGGAGCTTGCTGCTTAGCGGAGACAGAGGGTAAGGCTGAGGGGTAGAGATGTTGGTGTCACATCCGCCGGTGTGATTTAGGAGTGGGGGCGATAGGCAAGAGAGCTCACTAGGTTTTCTTCCAGAACCCGATAGATAGTTGGATATATGGGAGGAAGGGAATAGGGGATGGAGAGAGGAGAGAGCGATTCCATTAACTGAGTGGGGCTGAGGCCCGACCAAGGACAGGGCTTTGTAATTGGCCGAGACAGAAAAAAGAGCCCAGGTCGGCACTCTCTGGAAAGACGTTCTCTGGGCCTCGGTCTCTGCATCTTGAGGGGGAAATTCAGCTTAGGTGATCTCTGGGGTTCTCTCTGCCCTGACATCAAGCCCAGTTTCGGTGTTCGGAGGACTTTATTACCTGGATCCCCGAGCCTGCTGGGCCCCAAGCAGACTTCAGTTTCACATAGCACATAAGGCCAAGGGGAAGAGTTGGGTTACACAGAACCCAGGGGCCCAGACCTGGACCAGAGGCGGTCCAGCATAGCCCAGGTAGAGTCCTGTAGGACCTGGGGGTGGGCTTAGGGTTACCTGGGCAGGGATTCAGGGTTATGGGTACCCAGAGCTTGGTCTAGAAGAGTGCGTGGGTGGGTTGTAGGTTCCAGGTGGGCACCTTCCCGTAGGCCCCTCAATATCTTCACCCCAAGAGGAGGGCCAGAGCAGGGGCTTTTAAAATGCAAGGCCCACGGCAGGGGCCTCTCTTGCCCTTGTCTCAAGGCAAGATTGAACGGGTCCTGGAGCAGGAGTTCAGCTGTCAGCCTCGGTGTCCCTCACCCGCATCTGGTTCTGATGCTCACTGACCCTCCCTTGGGGCCTCTAAGGTTCCCAGAAGGGAAGAAGGGAAGCTTCTCGTTGTATCACAGTGTCTGACACCAAGAAAGCAGCTGCTAATGTTTAATGAATGAATGACAGGCCGGACAGGAGCGGCCTGCTGGAATGGGACGAGCGAGGGCCTCGAAGGCAATGGACCTGGGGTCCTATCACCTCTGAGCCTCAGTTTTCTAATCTGCGAAGTGGAGATAATGACACTGCCTCACCAGGCTGCTGTGAGTGAGGGACAGAGAGGACCATGTCAGTCATTGGGCCTGGTACAGGTTGGGTGTCACCCAGACATGTGCTGGGGCCAGCTAGCATGAGCCTGGTGATACAACTTCAGGGATTCTGCAAGCTGGTTGTTAAAATCAGCCACTATTAAGTAATGTAAGGTCAAACAATATTCCAACCCCTGCATTTGTACAAAAAATTTAAAGAGGGGGCCCTATTGCAATCAGTAGCGCTGAAGATTTGAAAGAAGTTTTAGTTAATGAATACAATTTGTACAAGGGTAAGAAATAGTTTAATAGATCACTTGTCATTGGCAAAAAGTTGCGTTCATTGGCATGCAACCTCACTTGTCAAATCACAGCCCCGCTCCCACACCCCAACTTAGCTCATGCAGAGGCTCCATCCTTTGGGCCTCAGTGATTGGGAGTTTTTGACCAATTCTGATGGCAGCCCCACCCCCAGTCCCTGAATCCGAATTCCTGGGGTGAGGGGAGTAGGGATCTTCCTGAGCTCCCAGTTGGCCTCACTGTGCCTCCAGGACTGAGAGTTGGGGACAGAGATGTAGGTGGATGCCCTGCTCCACTGAGCTGTGGATTTAGAGGTTTTAGCTCTGGAGGCCATTTCGTCTCCACCAAGGGAGAAAGGGCTGGAAGAGAGCAGCGAGCGGACTCTGGGCTTGTGCCTGGGAGAACGTCCTGTCAGTACCCTTTGAAGACTTTAAGAACAGGACCAGGCCCTACCTCAGAGGGCAGCTTGACAGTTTAGCTGCCGAGGGAGGGGTGCTGGAGCAGTGGGCTCGGAATAACTGTCGCCACATATGAGAGCCACTGTCTCGCTAGGCCTTCCCAGAGGGGATTTCTGGCCCTCTCAGTAACCCAGAGGCATGATTATCCCCCTTACCCACATAAATTGTCTTCACAAAGGTCCCCTGGGTGTCTAGATGCCCTGCTAATGGCTCCTTGTCTCCCTGCACTGGCCCTAAAGGGCGGGAAAGCTTCCCTGTGGTTTTAGTCAGTTGTGGGAGGGGTGAAAAGGGAGAGCAGAGGAAGGGGAAGGAAGGGCAGGAAAGGAGAGAGAAAGGGAGCAGGAGGAAGGGGAGTCAGGAAAGGGAAGGGACAGGGTTGCCAGATAAAATACAGGACTCTCAGTTAAATTTGAATGTCAGATAAACAACAAATACTTTTAGCATAAGTATACTCCATGCAAAAAATGTGGGATATACTTATACTAAAAATGTGTTCATTGTTTATCAGAAGTTCGATCTGCTGTCTCTGGCAACTTTAGGAGGGGAGGTGAGGGAGAGGACGGAGGGCGTGGGGGTGGAGGGTGAAGGACCACTCCTGATTCTCCCTTCTGGGCTGTGCGCAGAGTACAAGGAATGCTTCTCCCTGTACGACAAGCAGCAGCGGGGGAAGATAAAAGCCCCTGACCTCATGGTGGTGATGAGGTGCCTGGGGGCCAGCCCGACACCGGGGGAGGTACAGCGGCACTTGCAGACTCATGGGATAGGTGAGTGGGCTGGGCCAGGGCAAGGGCAGAAGTGTTCTGGGCTGGTGGGTGAGCCTGCAGCCCGGCAGCTGTGGCCTGTGGAGGGGCCCAACAGGTGGGTGCAGATGGCGAAGGAGTAAATAGCTCAGAGGTTTGAGGGGCAGGTGGTAGTCAGAGGTCACCAGCCAGGAGCTGTGGAGGCAGGTGTGCTGGGCACACTCAGGCTTCCTTGAATCCTTACAGCAACTGATAACACCCTCATTTCAGAGAGGATCATGGGATCTTCCTAAGCTCTCCAACAAGGTTATCACAAACTCGCAGTCAAGACCATGCTAACAGTGACCCCAATGTTGTTTTGACAGAACAGTTTCCCTTTATTGAGTATTTGTCAAGTGTTTATCTCAAACGACCCTATGAAGTGGCACTGTTTTACAGATAAAGATCAAGTTTCAGGTCACTTGCCCAAGTGCTTAAGGGTTGGAACTCACCTCTTCTAGTTTTGAAGACTGACCTCCTAAAAACTAATGCAGTATTGGGAGATAAAAGGTGGAAAGAAAACCACCCAAAACGTTGTCAGATGGTTCTCTCAGGGGATGGGATTATTGATGATTTTCATTCCCTTTATTGTTGTTTCTTGTATTTTTGACAATGGGGACATATAGAACTTTTATAACCAGAAACAAATGTTTGTTTGTTTTTTTTAGAAAAAGAGGGATGTCAGAGGGTAGGGTGGCATTGGTAGCTGGACTCTTAGGAAGGAAAGACTGGCCAGAGGAAGGGGCTGGCCAGGAAAGATCACTTGGTCTGCAGCCCATCTGGGCCTCAGATTTCTCATTTCTCAGATGGATTTCCCACCTGCTGTTGGGGGTACCATGAGAGCACATCAGAATGTGCCTGCAGCAGTATTAGGAGCCATTGTGAGCTGGGCCCGGGGGCGGGGCACCCCCTAAAGGCCTAGAGCTTGGTGAGGAGGTGCCCAGAGACTGAGACCCCCGGTTTCCACCTCTGAAGTGTGGTGGTTTCCTTTGGTTTCTGTGTCTTCCAAACAGGAAGTTGCGGTCAAGGGAAGTTCCGATTTCCTGCAGTTGTACCCCTGCCAGGGTCTAGGTCAAGGCCCCCACGCATGCTTGGAGGAGGGGCATGGGCTGGGGAACCTGGGATAGAGGCTGCAGTGAGGGAAAAGGCAGGTGACTAGCCCTGGTGGGACTGGGACTTGAGGCCCCAGATGTGGTCACTTGTCCATTTTTGTGGATGTGCAGTGGTGGCCACTAAAGTGGGGATGGACACGCAGATGGACTTCCCTCCAGTTCGGAGCAGGAGAGAAGCACCCAGAAGGGAGCAGAAGGAGGTGGTACTTCATGCTGGTCCTTCCACTGCTCCGTGAGGTGACTCCCCACTCTGAGCTTCTGTCTCTGTAGTGGACAAAATGGGTTGATGATAACCACAGTCCCTGAGGAAGGTTGGGAGGATTAAATGAGACATATCCATAGTGGGAACTCAGGAGAAGGGGCTGCATCTTCTCCATTATGACCACTGCCACCATCATGGGACTTCCTGAATTATGTGGCCGTTGAGCTGGCCATGAAGGTTTGAACTTCTGTAACAAGAGCCTTTTCCTCCCTGCTTACTCTGCTGTGTTTGGGTTTTTCCTAGACAGAAATGGAGAGCTAGATTTCTCCACTTTCCTGACCATTATGCACATGCAAATAAAACAAGAGGACCCAAAGAAAGAAATTCTCTTGGCCATGTTGATGGCAGACAAGGAGAAGAAAGGCTACATCATGGCATCCGAGCTGCGGTCAAAACTCATGAAACTGGGCGAGAAGCTCACGCACAAGGAAGGTAATAGCCTGGGCCCCTCTGTCCCCATGGTGGGAGAGGATTAGGGAGTTGGAGGGAGATCATGCAACTAGGATTGTGCAGACACTGCATTTCATGCATGCCTCAGAAGGCTGCAACTAGATGTCGAGGTTGGTAAGCTGTGGACTGGAGCCCAGGGGAAGAGCTAGGGAGCCTGGGGAAACTCAATTAGGGTCTACTTGGGCCTCACCCTGAGTTTAAGCTTTTACTGTGGACCTTTATTTAGGGCTTACGACGTCTCTGGGAGCACTAATGCCCCACATACTGATAAATTAACAGGTAAAGTGAGTGGCTGGTTAGTAGCAGAGCTGGGAGTTGCACACAGGTCTATTAAACACTTGTACCCACCTAACCCCAGCCCATCTCAGGCTCCTTCCCCTTGCCATCACTGTCTTCTGAAATTGCCGCTGATGCCGTTTTCCAAATTGAGATGCTACTTTGTTCCCTCTCCTTAGGACTTAGCCAGCTCTAACAGGTCTTCCAGAGGGTTTTCCGTGGTGGCCTTTCTGGGACTCCTGGTCACAGAACCCCACGAGGGGCCTTTACCTCACACCTAGCAGCAGCCCTGCATGCCATCCTGCCTCAGAGCAGGACAAGGGGCCTGGGTCTTCTGGGAAAGCCCTTCACACATGGCCATTTGCCAGCATTCTTCGGGTTTGCCTAGCTAGCCCCTCAGTCCTGCCACAGCAGCCATTTTGATTCACCACCAGAGTCCACACCCACCAACCCCAGAGGCTGGGCTAGGACACAAGTGGGTGGAGGAGGGCTTCAATAATGTCAGGACTTTGATTAAATCACAGCAAACCAATAGAGGGGCTGCAAGGTTGTGGTATGAATTTGACTTGAATCCTGGCTCCCCCTCATTCTGGGGGACCTCAGACAGGTTTCTTACCTCTCGCACCCTCCTCAGTTTCCTTGTTGGGAAATGAGGTTACAATAGACGATCCCTCAGGTCCCTCCAAGAGCTAACATTCTATAAAGCAGGCTGCTTAGATTTTATCTGCAGTCACAAAGGCACAGAGCAAAGCTTTTAAAAATAGTGCTACTGAAGCCAGACTCAGCTTTCTCCCGCTTTCTCGGGCTAGCAGCTTTCGTGATCTCCTCTCCCACTGTGGCTGTTTCAATGTGAACAGGGGGATCACGGGCTCCCCTTCCCTCAAGCTCTGAGGACACTGCTTGGCCTTTTATGTACCAGGTGAACTGTTAGCAGACAGGGCCAGCTGGAGACTTCCTTAATTCTTATGGTTAATGATCTCTGTCTAAAGCAAGACCACAGGCTCGAAACTCGTACACACTTCTCATTTGTTTAACCAGTAAAGAAACATTTCAAAGAAACTAGCAGAGTGTTCCTGACAAAGACGGAGACTGAAGTCTTTTCCATTTGGTGGTGGGAGACAGAAAAAGATGATACTAGAAGTAGGAATCCTTTACTCTGGTGATTAAAAGAAAATCTTCAATTTTATTAAGAAGCATCCTTGGAGCAGCTGGATAAGAGTGTGGGGAAGGCCTGCAGTCTAAGGCCTGGGACAGGCTGACTTCAGCACTCTGATTCTTTCTGGGTACAGAGTCAACTGCCATACTACCCAAAAGGCAAACCTTAGATGTGGCCCCTTTCCCAGACAGGAGGAGGCTCGGTGGTTGGCTCTGGAACTGGTGTTGGAGCTGTCCACTGAGATGGTTTAGACCAAGTGGCTGGTGGGTAGAAACTTCTCCATGAAATAAATTACAGTCTCCTCAACATTCTAAAAATACTCAGCACTACTATCGGCTTAGGCACAGAGCACAGTAATTACATTTTAGAGGAGGCTGTTTAAGCAGAGAATCATGGGGTATTTTCTAACTGCTCAGAATTATGTGTCGGGGGTGTCTAGGGCTGAGGAAGTTGACACAGGGCAGTGAGAAGAGGGTTAGGATGGTTCAAAGAGCCAAAGGTAGGCTGGCCCCGAAGGGCCACTGTGAAGTGTAAGCTGACATATGTCTTCTTGCCAATGTCTGGGACAGCTAGTATTTCGTCTGAGGAATTCAGAACCAGAAGAAACAAGTAAATGAAGTGATTTTTTTAGAGCAACATCAGAGAACAATGGCAGCGTTGTATGCTTTCAGCTTTAGAAAGTTGAATTTATTTTCTCTTACGCTATCCCTACCCCTAAAAGACACACGTAAAAAAGAGGTGATGGCGATGGTGGCAGATACCACTTGTCACCAAGTCTCCTCTTAGGGTGGGGCATACCAATTTGGAAGGGAAGGCAGGCAGGCCAGGGGCAGGCCAAAGCCTGCCTAGGATGGAGCTGCCAGGGGCGTCTGTTCAGTTGGGAGGCAGGGAGGGTGGGCCGTGGAAGGTAAAATCCATGCCGAAGCGCCAAAGGTTTCTGGAAATATAGGTACAGGGGTCAGACATTTTCTTAACAAAAAAGCACAAGGTGGCGTCAGTGACTGAATCCTCACCAGTATTCCTCCCTACCCACTCCCCTGGCCCCTGCAGAAAGTCCAATGAACTCAAAATTGTATCACTGGTCTCCAAGGAGTAGGGGGTGACTGTTCTGTTTGCCAGTTTATTTCCTGGTCTTTGGGAACACTCAACTGGATACTCAAGGGATACCTCCGGGGAGTCCCAACCCCCAAGAACTTGAAGTTCTATAACATATCACTAAAGCCAAACTGAAAAATTAATGTGATTTATTGTAGTGGATGATCTTTTCAAAGAAGCAAATATTGAACCAAATGGCAAAGTGAAGTATGATGAATTTATCCACAAGATCACCATTCCTATGCGGGACTACTGACTGAAGAGAATGCAAGAGAGCCTCCCCTGGGTCTGAAAACTCGGATGAATTTTTTTTTTTTAAAGTGTTCCTTTCACTCTAGGGAGATGGCAAGCACAGTGACAAGATGACATTACTCAACTGTAGCAGAAGATGACTTAGCAATGGAAGTAAATGAATTCAGTCACCGTTATTAGCATGTCTTTAATAAAAGATTTTTATTGATTTCAGTAACTGCCATTAGTCTAGCTCTTTATACCATGGAAAAAGCCAATGGTTTGGAGTTGGGCTTGGGTTCCAGTCTTGACTCTGCCGTCTCCCAGCTATCTGACTCTGGGCAAATCATTTCACCCCTCAAAGTCTTAGGATCCTCACGAAAGTTAGATTCCTATTTCTTGCCTCATGGAGCCTGTGGATAATGACATGGAGTCTGAGATAATGACTTGAGAATGTCTTTGCAAACTGTAGAGCACTATGCATTCCCAAGTTACCATGGGAGTGCTTCTCCTAAAAAGGGCAATCTACCGAAAGACTATATTCTATATTGAACCATCTTCCCCATTTCCAAGACAAAGCCAGTGCTAGGTGAGAAACAGCAACAAGCAAAGAGCTAAAACAAAAAAAACTAAGGTGACATTAGTAGCAGCACCACAGGGGCACTTACAAATTCTCATTCCCGTCTCCACACGCAGTGACAATTCAGGATATTCATTCAGAAACAGAGTGTAGGGTGAAAACACTCATGTTAAAACAAGGCAGCATCAGCTAAATAGTGGGAAGTGATCTGACTTTACAGCCCACACCAAAGGAAACCAAAAGACACCTGAGGACTTGGGGAGAGCTTCGAAGGCCCTTTCTGATGCTCCTGTCACAATTTCCAGCTGTCCCCTGGCTGGAAATCAGGTCTACAGATTAGGATGGTCTGCTCAAGTGGGTCACGTCGAACATGCTTCAAGCCATTTCCCCAGGACTAATGAAAACAAGGGGATGGAACAGGCCATGGCTATGATGCAGTGACATCCCCGGAAGACAGCAGTAGGGGGACTGGACCTGCCAGGGACAATTCTAGCTCAAGCAACTTAAGTGAATTATGTAGCCAGGAAGTGCCAGGCTGATGCCACGCATGTGCTCATCAAATTTGTAGATCCATCAGTAGTGTCAGCACAGCCTTAAAAAGAGTTGAAGTCACAGTGGCGTACTGCGGGGTGAGAAGCGGGAAATGTAGTAATTTCCATCCTTATATGTATCAAAATTGGGCTGATTGTGGCTTTATCTAATGGTGCTTAGTAGCTAAAGCAAAAGAAAACCAAATGAGTGTCTTTTGGGAGGCTATACAAGACACAAAAATAAGGCCAGGAACAAGGGAAACTGCAGGGGACGAAAAGTCATAGTCTTAATGTAACTAGCTCGCAATGCTGCGTGGCTTCTGACCAACGAGGTCCTGAGAGGGACTCTTTCATTTTCCCAGCCGTGTAATTGCTGACGGGAGTATGATTTCCTAGGAGCTGTAAGGGTTTTGTGGAGGGCAGGCAATCAATGGCCCAAACAACCAAACAGGTGAAGTGACGACTATTGAGCTAGGGGAGCCTAGGTTCACCACGGCAGGGGCAGATCCAGGTTTTGTGGAGTCTGAGTGTTCCATGATTTGGCAGCCTTCTTTAAAAATAGAAATATAGAAATAAATTTGATACAGCTGTTCCCAGGGCCCTAGAAGAGGCTAGAGCAAATGAGGGGCCCAGGTGCTTAAACTTTATTACCTTCATGGTCTCCCACCCCCCGGCCCAGGGCTGGTTAGATATTGGCATCCCGTATAGAGTTGCTATATTCCACTTTCAGGCAAGGCTCAAGTCCTAACCCCTACATCTTTTAACTCATCATGGATATTAGGAAGCAAATCCTGCACAGCCAATCTGGAATACCAAGGATTAAACAGTAGAGCCTTAGGATTTAAACGGGATAGGGCAAGTTAAGTTCTGGGCTATAAGAATGAATGAGGGTACTTTCCCCTCAGAGCCTTTGTCTCTACCACTGAACAGCCCCAGTGTGGTCTGAAAGCAACTGTTATTAATCTGATTTGCCTAACAGGAGTCTGGAGCATAGCTTGCCAAAATCACATTAAGTGGTGTGTGGAGTGGTCCTTAGAACCTGGGGCTCATCTCCATTGACTCAGTGTCCCTAATTAAGGATGTTCAGTGGCTAGGATTCTGATTTAAACCCCTGCCTCAGGAAAGGCTTTTATGCCACTCGGTGTCGGGGTTTCATGCTCATTCCTGAAATTCCAGTCGGCTTACCTAGCACCTAGTATTTTTAAAGAAAAAGGTGACAGTGCTCTTTAGCACAAAAACTGCAATTAAACAGATTTAAAACTAAACAGATGCTGTGGTTCATTACGAAGCTAGCCATATTTCAATGAGAAAGGGGAATGATGGCTGTTCATTCATTACTTACCTCAAAGCATGTTGTAAAAGAATTACTTGTCATGCTTTGAAAGCTCTGGATGAAACGTGCTTTGGAAGCACAAAGCATATCACTTTTCTCATAGGGACTGTCCCCTTTTATACCCAGCAGTATATTTTACAGAAGACAAATTAACTGAAGGCTTTTCTTTTATTACATCTAAAGAGCTCTACATAAACAGGTAACATTCAATAGGTAAACAATTTTTTTCCAATGCATGTAATAAATATTTTCACTTGGTACTTTTATACAAACTGACATTGGTCTACTATACATTTTTAAAAGCCATTTTTACTGGTTTGGCATGCGGTATGGAAATTCTAAGAGAGAAAGTTTTAAGGCAATGAATCACAGATTTAAGTTCATGGAATTTATGGTAACTTTTATATCTGTTTATATACATTTCCCCCTTTGTTAATTAAACAATTAACAGCAGCACACTCTGGGACCACCAGCTATTCTCCTTCCCTCTTTCTGAAATCTAAACTTTTTTTTCTTTAAGTAAAAAACAGAATTCAACATGTATCGATAAATCAAAATTCTTACTAAAATAATTTCAAATGTGCTTTAAAGTCCTGAAGATCTTGAAGTGTTTTATGTATTTAAAACTGGAATTTTTAAAAAACAATTTTCCTTCCGCAATTAGCAATTTAAAATTGGGATATATTTTCATTCGGTTTCAGACATCTGACTCAAAGGAAAATCTGCCAAGAAATCACATTTTCCAGAAGCTTTTGTGAATATTTCCTAAGTCGGTAATGATAAAATTGTGATGATGTCTAAATTAGTAGAAAAATTTTAATGCTCAAAATAAATTAGTCAACTAAGCGTGGCATGGTTAAGGTTCAAATAGTTTTAAAAAGACATGTCCAATAATGCCCACAAAAGAACTAGAAGCCACTTCAACCCTGCTAGTCAAACAGCTATTTTACCAAAGATGTGTGATACACATACAATACTGTACAGCAACCCAAACATATGCATGCCTATTATGAATGACCAAGGCAAGGGGGGTGGTAGCTACTTGCCTAAAGATTCTGGGAATCCCTGTTTGTCCACAAACAGCATGTCAAGGTTGGCATGGGTTGGGAGTAAGAGTGGGCTAAAAAATAAAAAAGATGAAATAACTATGTGCTTAAAAAAAACCTCAGAAGATAAAGATGCAGTGCATGACTCTACTAATAATCACTACAGATCATGAAAGTCTGATTGACTAATATTGACCATGAGACAGAGTGATAGCTACTACTAATGCCAACAATTTGGAAAGTCAACAACTGAAGGGAACAAACTCCTTAGCATGGAATGAACTAAAATAGACAATTGCATGGTTAGTTTCTCCTGTGGAGACATAACCAAAGCCACTAGACAAACATTTATTTCTCCCTATTACCTATTCTTCCCTTGGGTTGGTATAATGCAGGACACTGAGGGGAAATTAACCCTCTCTAAAACTGGGCTGAAGAAAGTAGAGGAACAAGTTTTCAACCAGATCATTCAAAGAGTTTGTAATTCAGCATCATACACAAAGTTATTGATCAGAATTTTGAGACCCCTAACAACAACAGAAAAAGAAAAAAAAAAAAACAAACAGAAATAAAGAGAACTATTCATTTTATCTTAGGTAGCTGAACAGAAATGTTTCCTGTTGCAATGTGAAATAAGAAGCAACTCTCCACAATTTAAGTAATTTATATCCCAATCCAAATTTAGACACAAATTATATTAGGTATTAGCCTAAGTTAATATAGCAACGAGAGTTTTTAAAATATTTACTCACCATAACACCAGATTCATTAAAAAACTTAACTATGTCCTGTTTTAACTGACAACGAATCTCTTTTTTTTATTACAAATTGTTTAGTGACTAACTCTGCCATGTATGTGTGGAATACACATGCATAGGGGAAGACTATATAACTCACTTGTCACTCACACACACTTGTCTATAAATACATATATACACACACACATATACATATCAACACCAACTTGTTTTTCAAAATTCAAGTCAACAATTTAGTGGCAGAGATGCTGTAGAAAAACATTTTTTTAGATGCCACATAGTCATGTGAACCATTCATTTTATCATACAACCAAAGATACAGCCATCTTGAATTTATCTGGATTAAAGTAGGTCACTTTGTTACCACTACAAGATTTAAAATGACAGTTTTATACACAAAGGTGGTCCTTCATCAACTCTGAGAACATTATAGCTGTGATATAAAAATCCAGTCTGGAAAACTGGTAATCATTATGCCCCTTCTTTATCTTTTCTGTTAAACCTGCTAAACCTCTCAATCAGTTAAAAACTATTTCCCATACCTTCAGTTATTACCTGAAGAATGTAATACCTTCTCTGATGAGGACTTTGGAATACAAGTAGAACCACTTTTCCTTCCCTCCAACCCTCAATCATCTCCTGAAAAACAGTTTTCACTATATTTACATGTTTCATTACTAATAAGAATAGATCAGACTGATCCATGAATTCTCAAAAAATTAACTTTCCCATGTCATGCTTGTCTTTAAAAGATGAAAAATAAAACAATAGCTAAAAAAAATAAGTACACTTAGAACCAGAGTAAAATGACTAAGGA